ACGTATTCAGCACAGACAAAAACATCAGTCTGCAGCCAGTCAAAAACTTTGTGATGCCCAGCGGCCCCGGCCAGCAGCGTTGGTCCAAGGGTAGAAGTACAGCGGCGACTAGGCGGCAACACTGACTGCAGCGCGCGGTGGTGCCTTTAGTAAATCACACTGTCATGTCAAGGTGCGGCACCACACTGGTCCAGCCAGTACGTGCCCGCGGTGCCAGAGCATGCCCACCTCCCGGGGCTCCCTATGGAGATGGGGAGCGCATTTACGGAACCTCTTAAATCAGGGTGGCCAGTGGTAATAAATGTGCGCAGATTAAATGACGCGAGTAGTGATCGATTGAGAACGGCTACCGCCTTGGATGCATTGCATACGCACGCGTTTCCCACCCGTCATGAGAAGAGATTGATCTTTAGATGATGAGGACATGAGGTAGTAAAATGTTGTCACTTTTAGTAGTTGGGGAATAAAGAGAAAGAAGCATTTCGATTGAGTAGTTTCCCGAAGGGCAAAAACAAAACGGAAGCTTTCTTCTTTTTTCTCTCGTCTCCGACAAGGAAATACTTAAACTGGAGAACTCTTGCGGTAATCAATGCAACCAAAGCAACCGGGGCTCACTTACTTGCGACAGCAGAGGTGGTAAGTCCCTCCGCTTCCGGCGGGATCTCCACTCCACCCCAGCGGACACTCGAGGGAGGAACGGCGGCGGCTCCCCGGCGGACGGATCAGTGGGCCTCGACCGCGCCACCCAATGGCGGCGGCATACCCGGGCGCGGCGCGGCGCGGCACTGGCGAAACGAAGAGATCGCTCCGCTCGCGGGGTTAGGGTTTGGAGAGCGGGGGAGTGGAGTGGAGCGGCCGCGGGCAGTGAGGACTGGAGGCGGGGAGTGGAAGGGAAGGGAGGCAAAGCTGCGTGCTTGGCTAATGCTGCGTCGCCTTTTGGCTGCCTCCCTCGTCTTTAATGGAGGGAGAGGCAAGGCAAGCATCTCAAATGTTTCCTCTTTTTTTTTTTTGGTCCCACGCGCTGCTCCCTCTCTTGCCACGTAGGTAGGCTGGCCCGTGGTGTCAGTGGGACAGGCGTGGTGAATTCGTCGTACGGAGGAATTTTTTTAATAATATAAAATCGACGGGGACGCGTCCTCCGGGCATGGCCGCATGGGGGCATGGGCAGTTGGGCACGCGGGGAGCAATTAACGGTTCGGGCTGCGTGCACCAGGCCTTGGTGGATTCGCTAGTTTTGGTCCCACCTGTCATTGGGGTTTCGTCTCATGGACCCGGTCTTCTTCGGTAGCAGGTGGCGCAGGTCTCTCTGCGGCTGAGAATCGGCTCGCGGTGCTCTCTCCTCTCGTGTTCGTGTGCGCGCGTGACTGAGAACTGACAGACCAGGCCCACGAAGGCAGGGCAGCCGCTGCCGTGGGCCCCCGGCGTCTCTCCCCTGCCTCAGTAGGCCCCGGACGCCAGTGGGTCCAACCCCCATAGTCCGCGTCCAGGAGACGGGACGGGGCGGAGGAGCGGCGCCTGCGCCTCGGTTTCTGGCGGGCGGCGCCGATCCAGCACTAGCCGCTGGGCCGCTCCGGCTGTCTGGCTCGGGAGAAGTGTCGTGTCGGCCGGCGCGGGGTGGGCCCTCCGTGCAACCGCAGCTCCGCTTCCGCCGGGCCGCGCCGCGCCGCCGACGAGGCTCCAGTCCAGCTCACCCTGCGCTTGTCACGGTGGTGAGTTTTTTTTAGTTGGAGAAAGTTGGATTTTGAGGCTACTGTAGCACGTTCGTTTTTATTTGTCAAATAGTGTTCAAACATGCACTAATTAGGCTCAAAACGTTCGTCTCGCAATTTCTCACCAAACTGTGCAATTAGTTTTTCTTTTCGTCTACATTTAATGCTTCATGCACGGGCCGCAAACATTCGATGTGACAGGTACTGTAGCAACTTTTTGGAAGTCGGAGGTGCAACTAAACAAGGGCTGAGTTGAATTGGGCCACGTTTAGTTCATCAAAATTCTAGAATTTGGCACTATGCAAAAAGAAGATTTCCCATCACATCAAACTTGCGGTACATATACGGAGTACTAAATGTTGACGAAATCAAAAACTAATTGCACAGTTTAGTTGTACTTTGCGAGACGAATGTTTTGAGCCTAATTAGTCAATGATTGAACAATTATTACCAAATAAAAACAAAACGCTACAGTACGCAACAGTGCCGCGAATTTGAACGGCGCCAAATCTGAGGCCGAACTAAACGCGGCCTTGATGAGAATGAGGAGTGCACGTGAGCAGGATGCCCTGCTGCCTGCCGTGATCAGCAGCTCAGGTCACGAGGGATGCGGGAGTGAGGGAGATTGAGAGAGACGTTGCGTGTGTCAGGTCATGTTGATCTGAGCTGAGCCGGCCACCTGATCGGCCGGACCGACATGCTATTGTTACCTGGGCAATTCGAACATTCAGTTAAAACTTTAACATAGAATATTTGACACATACATAAAGTATTAAATATAGACTAAAAAATAACTAATTACATAGATTACGACTACTTTGTGAGACGAATCTTTTAAGTCTAATTAGTCTATAATTTGACAATAAAGTGATATAGTAACACATGTGCTAATGACTGATTAATTATGCTTAATAAATTCGCCTCGCGGTTAATTTATTTTTTTATTAGTACGCAAACACCACATAAAACACTCCATATAACATCCGATCTGATACCCCGAAACTTTCCGCACTCAATCTAAACACCCCCTCTAACGGTTGGATCGGCGCCGGCAACCGCGCACAAATGCATGCTGCTCAGTCTGGCCGGCTGGTGTGGTCGTGTCGTGGCTTCTCCGGCGGTGGTGTGTCTGATTGGCGACCAGCAGCAGCGCTGCTCTACATTGTGCATTCATGCGTACCGGAGCGCCTGCCACACTTCGCCTGCGGCTTTGGTTTTTTAAGAGCCAAACGGCAAACTTTTATTGAATGGAAAGCAGCATCAACATCAACATTTACCATTAACTTACCCTCGAGGGGTTTCTTCCATCCATGCCGCACTCTGATTGTTATCTTCGAGGACATCATGTAATTAGTTGTCAACGTAGCTATAGACATTGCCGACCGATGAGGATTCTGGATTGCTTCACCATGGACTAGATGGCGCCTTTCCCACCAGATGTACCACCCACCCGTCAAGATTAGTTCAGCAAGGCCAATATTGTTGAGCACAACAACCTGTCCACCCCCGTAGGATTGCTTCTTCTATCATCTTTTCCCGTGATCGATCAACTTGAAATAGATTTTCAATATGATCCCAAACTCCCAAAGCATTCCAAACAGCTTTTGAACGAATACAGGTGAACATTAAGTGCTTCAAATCTTCCTGTCCTAGAGAGCACATAGGGCATTGAGGATCATCCCCAATGTGATTATAAAGAATGCCCTGACATTGGATCAGTCCTTGAATTGCTCGCCAGCCACAAATCTTTATCTTACCTGGGATTGATAATTTCCAAAGCCTACCCCATACCTGACTGTCCAGAGAGCCATCACCCATCACAGTTTCAAATTTAGTTGTCCACTAGCAATGATATGCTGACCTGACTGAGAAAAGACTAGACCTGTTGAAATGCCAAGCCACCAAATCTTCTCTGCCTTGGATCAACGGTATCTGGAGAATTCTCTGAAACATCTATCGGCAAAAAGAGGAATCTCAGCATATCTTCATCTCAAATCCCAATTAATGGGTTTATTAGCTCATCAACCATCTTCACTAAAATATGCCCTCTAGGGGTCCGGACTTTCAGATCCACTACTATGATCCAATTGCCATCCCAAATATTAATCTGTGTTCCATCGCCCGCTCTCTATATATAACTTTTCTTAAAGCACTCCAGGCCAGCTAACACACTTTGCCACGTATAGGAGCTCCCACTTTTATGTTTAGCATTAAGGAGGCACCCATCAGGATAGTGTTAGGATCGATGGTTAGTACCTCTGTGTGTGTAACCCGTAGATCCAGGGAAGACCTCATCCTTGTCTTCTCTGTAGATGCACCACAGCGGGTAGACGCCATTGCCGCGGCAGCTCCGGCTCGGTGGAGTCCGTAGTGGTACTGCCGTGGTCCGGTGGTGGCCCTGCATAGGTGCGACGGCGGTGGTTGGGGCACATCCCGTCGCTGACAGCACGGTCTTTAGATTGGTTTAGGGTTACTGTAGGTGGGTGTGACGACTCACGGCGAACCTCGTAGCTCGAGTCCTCATCTCCACCTTCCTTTTATGTGTGCTGTGCGACAGGGGCCCACCAACTGGATTATGGTTGAGCTCCCCAATCAGAGAGCAGAGATAAGAGCTCAATAAACCGGCCTATTGGTGGAGATCAAACAGACAGTATTCGACAGGCTGCGGCTTTGGCTGTTGCACAGTGCACGCGATTTTCTAACTAAGACGCTGTTGCGAGTCTGATTGAAACGGCAAAAAGGACACCTCGTACGCTCCGGGTCTTAAACCGGTCCGGTTTAGGCATGGCCCGGCAACAGCGATGAGCCCATGGACAGCCCAGCCAGCTAAACACGACGGAACCTGAATCTTAGCCGCCCGTATTGACTTGTCTTGTTTCTGATTGGATCCTTCAGATTTTTTCCACAGTGACGCATGCTGTTTGTGTCGGAGACCCAGGATCACACCATGATATACTACTACCTCCTTGTCACAACGAAATACATTGGCTTGCCACGTGGTGTATATTCGTCTATGCCATGACGGTCGGATTTCTGTTGGGTTTCTTGTTTCAACTACATTGTACATCCATTTCGATCAGCGTTCTCAGACCAACATGCATATCCATTTTAATCACCGAGAGTCTTTCAGTTTCAGTCTGTGTCTCTGTGAGTTAACTATAGACGAAATAAAAGGAAGCAAAGGAATGCAGTTCATATATATATGTAGCTCTAATCAGCATACAGTCCATCTCCATCAGCTGTGAGGAGACGCCGTCGTCCACGCAAGCTGAACTGGATCAATTCAAATCATCAGATCAAGCTGCCGCCGCTCCCATGCAGAGGGGCACCCTGGGATGACAGTGCAACGGAGTAGGCGTCGCCGAAAGGGTTGAACTGAGACACAGCGGCGGCGCCATACTGAGGCTGAAACTGTAACTGCTGCGGCATCCCAAACATGGCTTGCTGCTGCCGCGCTATCATCGACATCTGCACGCCGGTCGGCGGCGCCACGCCGTTGGACATCGCGAACGGATCGTTCTGCTGATCAGAGGCGTGCCCATTTCCATAGGCGGCATTCATGGTTGCCTGCTGCTGCCTCCTTGCGCCGTCCTCGTACAAGCTATCCAGCAGAAGCCTGTCGAAGCCCCCAGCCTACAAGAATCGCCAATGTGAATGCGGAGAAGGGAGGGGATGCTGGCAAGAAAGAAGAGAGGGGATGCTGCAATGTTCTTTACCAGCTTGCTCTCTGCCAGCTGGTTGCTGCTGCTGGGCTGGGCTGTGACCAGAGCTAGCTCCCAGCCTGACGATCCTGTTATCTCACTCAAACCGATTGCAGACGCGTTGCTGGAACCACCTGCACATTGGAGATGAACACAATGTTGCGTGAATTTGATGTCATGCTATTGGCTGTTGAATTCATGAGACAGCAATCAGGTGCGGAAAATGGTGCTTGAAGCTTGCCTGGTGGTACTATGGCAAGAGCCAGTGCATTGCTCTCTTCAAGTGCAGCAGCAGCAGGGTTTACTTCATGCAGGCCCTGATTATCACCGACACAACGGATATGGTCACCAATATTATTTTTACTCCCTCCGTTCCAAATTATAAGTCGCTTTGACTTTTTTGGTTCATCCATTTTATTATGTATGCATAACAGAGTGGATGTAAAAAAAAAAAGTCAAAGCGACTTATAATTTGGAACGGAGGGAGTAGTTTGCAAATAAATAGGTGCTGAAGTATTATGCACTAACAAGAGTTACCAGCAAATCGGCAGTAGCAGTCGGAGTTTCAGGCTCATCGTCGCTGTCATCATCTGCAAACTGAGCAGGTTCTTCATGCTCAGGAGGAGCTTCCTCTGCAACAGGTTCTTCAAACGCCTCGAACGTCAGTTCAGGGGTTTGTTCTTTTTCGTAACGAATTACGAAATCTAGCTGCTGGTACTCCTGTTGAGTACAGGAGATTTAGAGTTTGACGGCAGAAAATAGGCTGACTGAATATGTATATATTTTAGATTAGCTGAATGACACAAAGGAAAATAAAATGAATTAACTCACTATGGTCTCATTTGGAAGAGGTGCAGTTCTAGGGTCTTCTCTGATGTACTCCTCCATTGTTCCAAGAAATGATGGTGGTGGCTGAAGATCATTCAGGAAAAGGAAGTGTTTGGCATCAGAGTTCAGAACTCCCTACTGTAATAAGAACTTTAATAGATGGACCGTGGTGGAACAAGATTGGGGAGTCTGTTTGGTGGTGCAAGGACCTCTCTCAGAATTGGAAACTGGAAGCTTCTGGCCAGTTCCAGACCTCTGCAGAGCTCGTAGAAATCAGAAAGAGACTTCGCCTGTTATATTCTGATGATCATTAGCTCACATAGACAGCTGTAAAAATTCCACAGAATGGTATCAAGTCATCATGCTGCAGTTATACACACCAGATTTCCTGTCCTTCTATAGATGTCCAGAGCTTTGATAGCATCAAGTTTTGTCATATCAAAGAACTGCAAAAACATCAGAATCCAAAACCGTCACAAAAACCAAGATGTACACTTTTATTAAAAAAAAAACCAAGATGTACACTGCCATCTCATAGGAGAGGAAGTTCATCAAAGTACCAAATCCACAAGGTTAATGATCCCGTCATTGAGTGCACAGTAGACCTTGAAGCTTTCCTTCAACACCTGAGCAGTTCATGTGTCGTCATCTCGATCAATGATGCTAACAAACAATGCTAATCAGCACTGAGGTTACACATACATACGGACATACCAGAGCCAAGGCATACTGTATGAGGTAGTTTCCAAAAGCTGCCCCTTCAGGCTGCAAGAACCACCAATGCAGCATTTTGCAAGATTAGTCTGGTTTAGTCAGGAACAGTACTTGACATTGACACAGAAGGTACTCCTAGCTGTGTGCCTGTGTGCTCTTCTACCTGACAGCTGACAAGCCGGAAGAGCAGCTGCTGCAGTGCAGGAAGCTGCTCCAAGAGATCGTCCTGGCCTAAGGTCCTTGTTCTGCTCTGCCCCTGAAAGTTAAGCAGTCAAGCATATGCTAGTAAGAAAGAAGAAACTGTGTCACTGAAACTCTGAAACCAGTTGCAATTGCACAAAGTCACAAACCCTGGGGTCTCCCTCTGCAGGTCTCAGTCGCTCGGACTCGATGTCGTATCTGAGGACTCTGAAGCACTCAAGCCGCTCCTCGAGATACAGCGCGTACGTGCGCACCCACGCAGAGCAGTCCCATGCTGCAAGAGACAGTGCAGACGAGAGTCAGGTTCAGGTCAAGAAGCAAGCAGAAATGCATTCAGGTTGGAATGGAGATGCAATGTAACCTTGTGGGCTGGAGTCGTCCTTGAAGTTGGACATCCGCAGGGCGTGGCCGTTGCGCCGGTAGCCGAGCAGCTCCTCCCTGAACGCCGCGTCGCCTTCGCGCAGCGTCCTGTGGATCACGATCAGCGTCTTCAGAGCGACCTGCCCAGTTTTTTTCATAAAGCATTTTACCATTTTCCTTGTGCATCAGATCGATCGGGGAAGAAACAATGGCTGGCAATGGCGTACGTACCACCCAGTTACGCGTCTTGGAGAGGCGCTTGGCGAGCGCGCATGGACGCAGTAGGAGACGTCGGTGAGCGGGCGGGAGGAGGACGTGGCGGCGAAGATCGCTGCAGCGACAGCCGACCAGTTAGATTTTCACTGGAGCCGTCGATCGCAGGAGAGAAGAGAGCGAGGGGACAAGTAGTCTCACCGGCGACGTGACGCTCCTTGGGCGGTCGCTCGACGTGGGTGGTGGCCTTGACCACGGCGACGTCGAGGTCCTTGCGCTCGCGTCCGCCGCCGCTGTTCACCTTGGCGATCCCCACGGTGGCGGAGTCCTTGATGGCGCCGCACGCCTTCCGCCACCGCTTCTGCACCGACACTGAACCCATCGGCGGCGGTGGCGGCGGGCGCGCCGGCCGTCTGCCTCGCCTCGCTCGCTTCTCTCCCTGCTGGTGCCTCACGGCTCACGCGCGCGCTAAGTCGTCGCCGTCGCCGTCGCCGAGCGTCGTGGCTCGCGCGTGGTCAGATCCTTCTTATTTAAATTCCAACTACGAACTCAGAAATGGCGCGACGTGCGCAGCTGTTCGATCAACCATGCACCCGAATCTGAATCAAACAGATCAAACGACGGGGTCCCTGCCGGCCGGCGACCGGCCGCGGCTGGAAGACGCCATCTTTTTGACGTGTTCTTCGCTGGTTGCCGCCGCCGCTCGGCAAGCCCCTAATGGTCATCTGCTCACTCTAATATGCCAACCGAGTGCTGCCTCTGGACATGAAAAACATTTTTTTGGTTCACTAGCAATAAATCCAAGAAGATCCACAAAACTAAACAAAAAAGTTGCATCTCAGGACTCATGAACGTCACTGCCACAAGCAACAAGAACAAACAGATTGAGCCAAAGCTCAGACTCCTTAACAGAAATCCCTGACAATAGAATATTCAGTACAATGGGGTTTCAGAAGCTGGAAAGCTCCACTCGGAAAGGCGGATGAAACGTGAAGTTCGCCCCTAACAAGAATACATTTATAATAACGTCAAAGAATATTCCAGATATAGTTGATTGGTACAATCGTACAACACAACAATATCAATTTCTTTCATTTCTGCCACATACATTGACTGTTGATTTTGTAGATTTAGTTACAGAATGCAACTCCCCAGAAAGGGGAAATGCATTAACAAAAAAACATGTATGCATTCTTCAGGGGGGAAAACTGTGGATGATCGATTTGAGGTATACATAAGCTGGTATGGTTTCCTTTTGTAGCTTCATTAGTCTATAAGTTGACACCATGTCACCAAACTGTATATGCCACCATGAATCCGAACTGACTTCAACATCCTCTTCACATCTCTTTTATTTCCTTTTGGCAAAGGAATTGGAATGTTCATGCCTTTGCGAAGAAGATATGCCCTAACCCTACTGCCAATGTTCATTAGCACGCACCAATTGCTGAGGTCAAATTTCTCAGATACATGGTGTTTGCTGAAGTCCATTGTAATGCCTTTTGTGTTTCCATAAACAGTGAACCTTTGCTTGCCTATATGATCTAGCTTATGGTTGTCTGCATCGAATCGGATCGATCTGAGCTGTAAATTGTTTGAATGAAATCCTCAACCACCTTTGTTGGTGCTTTTGCTTTAAGCAACATTTCATTGTATTCTGCTTCTGGGTTTGACAGTGCTACAATCGCCCCACCTGCCCCTACTGAGGCTTCTCCATCATGCAGGATAACCGTTCGAATCACAATGTTCAGATCAAATGTGTGGTTGTACGAAAAGAACCCAATCGATCCTGAGTACACACCTCTCGGACTAGTTTCAAGTGAATCAAGGATCTCCATTGATCTAACTTTTGGGGCCCCAGTCATTGAACCACCTGGAAAGGCCGCTTTCACACAATCAACAGGGCTTAGATTCGACTTCTTTGTCCCACGGACGGTACTCACCATGGTGTGGACAGTTTTATATGATTCTACATCCATGAGACGAGGGACATGCACACTCCCTGGTTCACAAACCTTGCCAAGATCATTTCTTAGGAGGTCAACAATCATCAAGTTCTCAGCCTGATCTTTTTCACTGTTGAAGTTGAGCACATGCAAAAAGAAAAATATAGTAGTAGCATGAGCACTGTGATAAACAAATCCATAATCCTACAGGGTTAGCATTCGAACATCTAGATAACATTGAAACTGAACTGGCAGGAAAGGAAGATACTGATAAGAAATAGTTGTTACTGTAGAAACCTCCAATGATACACAACAAAAAACTAGGTCTCTTGTGCTTGCAGTAAATGTTATACAACCATGCAATTTTCTGTCATAGATCTGTCAACTGAAAACTGAATTAGCTTCAGCAGAACAGACTATTGAACCAAGCCTAAACATGAATGTCAATATAAATTTTTTGATTCCTTAACACACTTATCAAATTATTTTTACCAACTTCTTCCACAAGACCATTTGTGAAGAAACTTAATTTAAAATACTAAGAATAGCAAATAAAATAAATGAGGGAAAGCAAAGAAACAGCATCCCAAGCTCAATATTTCCTGAATAAAGAGTGGTAGAGCCAAGATATATCTAGAAGACAATATAGTGTACTTGCCTGTATTTCAACTGCAAACGTAAGCGTTCATCTTCCTCTGGTGTTCTGCCACGTGCTATAGTACCTTTGATTGGTTTTGCTTCTAGAACTCCGCCTCGGTCTAGTCGCAGAAACCTTTCTGGAGAAGAGCAACATATGCTTAAGTTTTCTGAGGAGAAGTTAAGCCAAGCTGCATAAGGTGCTGGATTTTGTTTTCTCAGTTTAAGGTAGAGTTGGAGCGCATTTATATAGTCTACTCTTCTCTTCATCTGAGTAGTTAAGCACAACTCATAGCTTTCTCCATCCCTGATATAGTCCAAGCAACTCTGAACATCTCTAATATACTGATCCTTTGATTTCTCTACAACAAAACTCTGCTTATGCACACTGGATGATCTAGCATATGCCTTCCCATTAATTGGTGATCCTGGGGACATACCACCCAACCTGAGAAGCTTCTTCTCAGTCTCAACTAACCATGAAGTATGTGTTGAATTTTTGCATATCCCATCTCCATTACTAGAATAAAATTCATCATGCAGTGACAAAATATACACATCACCATTACTGTGATCAACCACCACAGTGTTATCAGCAAAGACGAAGCATGCATCAGGAGTACTTGATTTGGCCTTGTTAGATGATGCATCGCACTCCACTTTAAGACCATACCTGGTATACAATGAAAACTGAGGTTCAAAAGGATCTTAAAGAAACCCAAACGAAATAGATAATACAAAGAGAATTAAATGATGTACAGAAGGATCCATTGTCCGCACGAGATGATTACAGGAATGGGGAAGTCAAAGATAGAAAACAATAGTTTGTAGCATGGAAGATCTGTTTGTAGCAGGAAACTAATCAAGTGCAGGCAAAATCGATGCATAATATCGAATGCCAGAAGTGTATAATTTGAGTTAAAAAAAGCGTCGATTCATGACAAGAAATTAACATACCCTAGATATCCAACGAAGCCACCATAGAATTCAAAGGGCAGTCCTTCGTAATCCTTCTCATTGTATTGAATGGACTCGATCTCCTGCAAAGTGTGAAACAGTGAGAATCAAAACTCAGACAAATGCATGGCACAATCTACTGCATATTACACTTTACTCATAAACCTACGGTATGGATGATCGTGTTAACATGCAGAATACAAATAGTACTCCCTCCATGTTCCTAAAGAAAGTCGTTTTGAGATTGTCTTAAGTCAAACATTTTAAACTTTGACTACAAATAAATTCTTTTGGTTTGAGTTTGAAAATATAAAGTGATGTAAGTAGATTCATCTCGAAATGTAGTTTTATAAATAAAAGTATAGATTAACTATATTTTATAAATATTTTATAGCAAAAGTAGCAGTCAAAGTTGTTTTTGGAGACCGTGTCGATGTCCAAAACAACTTTCTTTAGGGACATGGAGGAGTATGTCGGTAACCACAAATACTTCATGCTGAGATACCTCAGACCAGCACATTTTGTTTTTGACATGGCTAAAACCAGTAAAAACCCTGGCTTGCTACGAATTGACTACATAACCTAGTAACACAATTATTTTGTTCCTCTCTACTGCAGGAGCTGAGAAAGTTCCTATAGTGGCAGGTGATCTATGTTAAACCCTCTAATCCCCATTTAATTATTTAATTTAAACAAAACAGTTGGGCTATTGTACATTAAAAAAATACCAAAACAGTTGGGCTCCTTGTACCTATTAATGAACACGAAGTCATTTCTGCTTGAGTAAATTATTCAGACTGAGACTACAAGACATAGATAGTGGCAAATGGTGACCAGGTTATGATCACACAAAATTAATAAGATTAAAATAGTTATCAGAAGCATCAATCTTTAAACATATACCCTGTTAAGGAACTCCAAGAAGCCCTCTTTGATGAAGTTTTTTCGCAGTATATCCATAAGCATCTTGGGTAATAAGCGTTCCTCCACAATTGGCTCTGGAAAAGAATTTGTGATATGCAGAATAACATGAAGGTCTCTACCACATGCTGGCAGACATAATGCTTATAATGCACTAAAGCATGATTCCTTCTTACCTTTGACCAGATAGGTGGAATGTCATTTGCTTCCACAGGGACCCACCTTTGCCACCCATGAATGAAAAACGTGCCCTATTCTGCAAGCAGAAATTGATCACAACAAAGACAGAAAAGATCATGTAACACACAAAAGTGAATTCACTATCTCCATGAGGAAAGAAAAGAAGTCACAATCCAAATAAGTTTCAGCAAATTTCCAGCTTTATCACTCAACGAGACAGTGATTGCAGCTCAATTCATGTAGATCATGAGTTGAAGAGAAAATAGTATCCCTTTTTTTTCATTCGATTTTGGTAAATTAGTTAAGAGTAAGCTGACTGCATACCTGGTCGACTGATGAGCTATCCAACCAAAACGTGTCTTCACCGCTTTGATGGCCAAAAAGCAGCCCAAATATGTCTTCAGAGCCAACTGTGGGACAAAGGAAATTTTCAATCTTCTTCCATCGTAATCGTAAACACTTTTTCCCAATGCCTCTCTTTCCAAGTACAGGCTCCGAAAGTTCCATTCTTTCAGTACACAAGTCCTTAGGGATAGAATCACGATGGCTTGCAGAATTGACCTGCAGAATAACAGGAGTCTCTGCTAAAATGATGTGTAAAGGTATAGTGTGTCAACTACTTCATCATAGACAGTACTTGAGATTTTTCCAGTTTACCAATACTGTGAACCTTTCTTTCCTGAAGCCATGATGAGCACAATCTAAAATCTCCTGTTATCTTCTTAAAGTTTGGAAAATCTGTCTTCCGTGATGAGTAGCAATGCTCTCTGGATGAAACTGGGTTAAAGGGCAATCATGTGTAAGAACAGCTTACTACAACATAGAGAAATCACCGCACAGGACAAACTAGGATACCTGCACTCCATAATGAGGCCTGCTAGAGTGCCTGATGCCCATGATAACTCTGCCATCATCTGACTCACTAGTATGTCCTATGCTGGATAGTTCCCCATCATTGTAACTGTACTCTAGAGGGTTTGTCATAAAGTTGTTGTCCAATGATCCCAAGAAGGTGCTGACATTACTTCGGCCACTTTCAAGGTAAGAATGCAAATTTGGAGAAGCAGTCCACGCTATTGATGTAAGATCATCAGGTAGAGAACCAGATTCTATTACAAGTGAATGATACCTCACTACCTGAAAACAGCACAAGCAAGTTCAAAGCATTTAGAAGTTCATATGGAAACTGAAGACTGAAATGAAACACAAATGGCAAGGGATGGGACAAGTGGTACACTAACCTTGAAGCCAGAGTTTCTACCTGATGGGACACAATTAAAGAGGTAGCATCCATCATGCTCAATTTCACTGAAACAATAAAGAGGAGTGTTAAATCATGCATAAACTGTAAGAATAGCAAGAATTCAGCAGCAGTGCTAGCGAATTTTATTAACATGAATTCAAGGCCTTGCCTGAGTCGCCCGTGTATAGCTTCTGGAGCATGAACAATCTTAGCACCATGTACAAATCCCAGGGCCTGCAATGGTCAAAGACAAGTAGACAACATCAACAACAGCAACGGCATTTCTGTAGTTACAGCTACGTGATCCATGCAAATTGCTTTGTGATCCAAAATAAATTCACAAGGACCTTGCTTCTGCGGGGTTTCAACTCTAGCCTACCCCAACTTGTTTGGGACTTAAAGGCTTTGTTGTTGTTGTTGATACACTGAAAAAGAAAGGTGGATTTGAATATCACCTGGTGGCCAAGGCAGACACCCAAGATGGGTATATCTCCACAGTCCAAAAGTATGCGCAGACATACACCTGAAAACAAAAACATGCACCAGATAAGTAAGTTGAAGTAGAACAGGGCAAAGCTGAAGACGAAGTTTGCCCACACACCTATGTCGGCGGGGCAAGCCGGAGATCCAGGGCCAGGCGAGATGACGATGTTGTCGAAGGCCCGGTCCTTGTACACCCGGTTGAAGACGTCCCTCCACGTCCACTCGTCGTTGCGCACGACCACGGGCGGCACTGCGGAGGTGTCACGAGCTTCCGTCAGTTCCACCGCCCGCCCAAGAAGGCGCAATGAGCACGCCGCCGCCGCTCACGCGACGCAGCGGCAGGCGCGGAGAAGGGAGAGCTGCTTTCATACTCACCGCCGTTGACGACCGACAGCTCCTGGAATATGTTGTAGGTGTAGCTGTCGTAGTTGTTGATCAGCAGCGTCCTCACCGGCGGCTCCGGCGTGTCCTCCCCCTTGGCCCGCCGCGCCGCGAGATGGCGAGGGGGCGAGACCCGACGCGCGGCGGCGGAGGCGGAAGGAAGGTGGGACCACCTCGCCGCCGGCGGGGCGGGGAGGCGGAGTGCGGCCATCGCGGCAGGCCTGGCGGCACGCGCGGAGGATCCAGGTGGGTGGGAGGAGAAAGAAAGGAAAGGCGCCTCTTTTTTCTGGGGCCGTGGTTTGCCTAGACTGGTCAATCGGAGTACGCTTTTCTGCCGACGTCTTCCCCTATCGTATCGGCGGGTGTGCCCACTGCCGTCGCCGTCGGGGTCTCCAACTCCACCACCAACTGCGCGCACCGGTGACCACACCGCCGCCACGAGGACGATCACGATGGTCGCTGCTCCCAACCCCGCGTAGGAGAACAGTACTATTTGATGAGGTAGAACTAATTCCTAAGTTTATTAAGCTAATTGGGATATGCATTTAATTTGGAACGAGGGGAGTATTTTGTTTACTCGTAAATTTATTGATTTAGCAAGTTAATTACAGGGAACACCTGGAGTTGCTCCTAGCTTAAGTTAGCTAGCTAGTTGGCTAATAATTAGTTCAAGACCAAAAATTGGCCAGCCTATTAGTCCATATGTTTGGATGCGCACTAGAGCTAATTTTAGTTAATTTTTCACTAGCTAGCAGTTAGCTCTTGTATCTAAACATAACAAAAAGATTAAACTTTTAAAAAGATAATAAAAGGACGCCAAAAATAATAAAAAGAATGCCAATCTTTTGCAGAAGTTGAATAAAAGATTATCTTTCTAAGACTTACGACAATTAAAACAACAGTGCTGCTAATTTTTTGGGGTGCTAAAGAACGTTTTATTTGACTGAAAGTCTAGCCTGAAATAGGAGTATGAACCAGACCATCAGAGATTTTGGGTTGGTGTTCTAATTTACCTGCTCCTGATAGCTTGCAAGTTGTACATGCAGCGACAGATCTCTGGTAACAGCACAGACAAATGTCCTGTTTGGGAGAGCTTCTCCCTAGCTTCGGCTCTAGCTCCTGTGGAGGAGCTCTGCCAAACATTTTTCTAGGATGCCATTTTTCAGAAGAGCCGGACTCTGGCTTCTCTGGAGGAGCCTTAAAAGGAGTCGTTCCAAACACGTCCAAAGAAGCTAGAGTGAACCAGCTCATGAAATGGTGGTCAGCGGAAAGACGAGGATACCTAAGGGAGGATACCTCAGGGAGAAGGGTAATCCTGGCGGATGGAAGAACCTGCTTTTTTGATGTTTTGGGCAGTGGCTGGAGGTTGCTAGTGGTGGGTGCACAGGTTAGGCTGAGACAAGGGAGTCAGTCCTGTGTTATGTCACTTTTATACAGGCGTGTTGGTTCTTTTCTCTTGGTGGTTGAGGCTGGGCTCCGAGACAGTCTTGCGTTTGAACAGGACCCTGTAGCTGTTTCTTTCTTTCTCTTTGTTCTGTTTCGAACTCGTGTATTTCCGTTGGCTTAATGAGAATCGTGTCGGAAACGGAAAAATAACAGGCCTCTGGTTTGTTGCCATGTGCTTTCTCACTCACCAACCCCACCACAACTTGGATCATTAGACCAACCAAAACATACTGGTCAACTATTCTCAGTTCTCTGGTACTGCTGCAGTTCTTATTGCTCATCCCAGACTTCACTCACATGACAGCTCTGGAGAAAAAAAAAGAAGCCCGGCAAACTAAGAACAGAATTGCAGAAACAGAGTGATAACACGGTTCCATTAACTGGTTGGGATATCACTTCATGGCCTTCTTTACATCAGCATCTGGAGCTGGAGAAGTTGCAAGGAAACTACCATCAGATCCCCATGATTACAACTCACATGCCACTCTACAGGCATCTCTACATCTGCCGCGCTATAACGCTGCAGAAATGAAAATTGAGAAGCTCTGCTGCTTCTCCTAGAGAGCAAGAGTGAAGCCCCAGAAATGTTCCTTGGAGCAAGATCCATCTTCCTTAGCTCTCTTTCTCTAATGCTTGCTGTTGCTGGAGAAAATAAGCCTTGCTGACAAACCTCCCCTGTGAAAGCGCAAAAACTCCACCTTCAGAGACTGTGCAAAAGATGAGATATATACTGGTTTTGCTGCTGCAGAAAACATCACTTCAAGAGTCGGTTCTGGTGCTTACCTTGACCCGAGGCCGGTAGTACCGACTCTGCTTATTAGAGGGGAGGGGAGTGCACGGCTTCTGCTTGCGCTGCATCTTTAGAATGTTGCCTTCCCTGATAACAGCGCTGGTACCATTCTTTGAGAAGAGATCACTGTCTTCATGTTTAACCTGCGATGAAAATTCCACTTGCCAGTAAGAAGCATGTTTCTTCAGGTAAAAGTGAACATAAGGGATAAATGGAATGCTAGCAGGGTTGCATTGTAAGTGGTCTCTCAGCATGTTGATGTAATGCACATTGTTAACATTAATAATTTTACATGGAAGAAAACTAGGTTCATTACAATGTACAACAGCAAGTTGGGGTAGGCTGGAGCCATATACCATTTGCAGTACAATGAGACAGTTTTAGGAAAATGCAGAGCAATTGATCATTAATATGTCTACATGAGGAGAGTCAACCAAGCCTAACTAATGGTTTTCTTTCCAAAAGCACTCCAATATTTTTGCTATTTAAATGCAGAAAGGCCAGGTTGGCTAGAGTTCATTGCGCTAGCTTTTTGTACCACCAATTTGAGCCCAACCACTCTACCAACAATGGAACTTAGCATGCATACATGCCTTAGGGTACCTACATGTCTTTTGATGCAAAAGTGGTACCAGCTATCTATGGCTCATTAAAATGGTTAGGATATCTGGCAACTGTAAGGAAAGCTGAGTCACTCAGATAAGTTTACTTAAATAAGGAAACTTCCACAAATAATGCATAAAAAATTGAAAGTTAGTTGTTGAATGAGCATTTTTTCAGCAGGGATTATAAGGCGTGTTTCTTAGGTTTTGATGCTAAAGAAACGATACCGGCTTCTTCACTTCGGTTTTTCCTTTTCCTGATCATTATTGTTTTAATCATCCTTTATTCAGTTTTCTGTTTCTGCATACTTGCTTGAGAATCAGAAATATGCAAATAAGCATTTACTTCACAATTTCAGATCACTGGTTGAAGGTACTACTATATGAGGCCTCGAATGAAGTAGTGGACCTGTGAATTACCATGGTTTGATTTTTTTCCAAAGCAAATAAGACCAAACTAAGAGATTTTCGTCTACTTCAATTGAACTCGAAACTGCGAATAAGATATAACGAGGGCTAATTTTCTTATAATAAAAAAAAACTTGGCTGGTGGGGTAAAGCACGCACCACGACATTAGCGTTAGAAGAAATTCTCTTCCTGGCCCAGTCGAGAAAAACCCCGAAGGCGGCTGCTCGGACACGCCACAGGGTGCCCAGGACACGTGGGCCACGTGCATATCTCTGAAGACACCGCAGTGGTTACGTGTATAACTCGACGGGGGGAGGGGGGTGTTACCCCCAGCTTGAAATTCGCTCCCACGGGGAGTCGAACTCAGGACCTAGGGGGTGCCGCTGGAAAGCTCTAACCACCTGGGCTAGAGTCCTTTGGCTAAGTTTCTTACAATGATTCAACTCAAAGAAAATGGCCATTTGGAATTTCCTTCTGCCTGGCCCATTAAACCAGTAAAGTCAAGTATTGGCGGAGGAGGTAAAATCCCGCACATTGTACTTTGTCATATCAGCAAATTTCAGACACAAATTTTCTTCTGGAAGAAACTTGCCACTGATAAGAAATGTAAGGGAATGAAATGAAGTAATGCAGGCCAGATTTTCTAATCACCTGCTGATATAAAACAACAACAACAGATGATCTGTGCCTCTACTGAAATGAAACAAATTCTCTTTATCAGACGATATAAACTAATAACAAGTATAATTTAGGGTTCTAAGAACTCTAGCCATTTTAAGTTTTAACTGGAAATGGAAAACCTTTTATATCTAGATAAGCTGGAGATACTTACTACCACATCAGCGAACACAGAGCCTCTGCCACGCCACGCCTTGAGCACCCCGTCAGTGTTCAAGCTCAGCCCCAATCCTGTCTCTGGCAGTGCTAAAGCTCCAGTGTATCCTGTCTCTGGCAGTGCCAAAGCTCCGGTGTCGCCATTGGCAGACTCAGGACTCCCCTCCTCGTATATTGTCCCCAGCGACTTCTTCTTAGTCTTCTTCTTGTCTGTCACTTTAGACATTGCCACTGAAGGCGGTGGTGCCGGCGAAATGTCTTTCACAGGTATGGCAGGGCACATCCACCATTCAGGATCGACGCTATGCCGCTTCAGCGCTTGATTGATGACACTCTGATCGTGCCGGAAGCTGAGCCCGAGCACCATAAGGTTCCTGAGGTAAGGGTGCATCATCTTGCATCTGGGCAGGTTGGAGTTGACGCTTGAGCTTGACACGGACTTCCCGTTGTTTTCCATGGAGAGCTTACCCATGATGCCATCGATGCCCTCGGCCGCGCCCTCGTCGACGCCGCACAGGATAGAGTCGGCGTCGAATCCGTCGTCATCGTCGAAGTCGAGCTCCCCGGGCTCGTCAGGCGCCGCCGCAGCATCGTCAGGGGTCGCAGGGGACGGCGCCGGGTCGCGGAACTCGTTGAAGACGCTGCTGACGGCCGCAGGCGACGGGCAGCCCCTGGCAGCGGCGGCCGCGGGGCTCCGCGGCGTCAGAGGCGGCGGCGGCAGGTCGCGGAGGAGGAAGGCGGCCTCGCCGCCGGGGACGGGGAACGGCGGGAGGAGGTCGGAATAGGACGGGTCGTCGGCGAGCGCGGAGGCGAGGCCGAGGAGGCGGGGCGGCGCCGCCGCGTCGGTGGCCCCCTTGCCCCTGGCGACCGGGAAGACGGAGGGGTACATGGACGCGAGCAGCGCCGCTGCTTCGTTGTACGTCTGGCTGGGCCGCTTCCGCGGCGTGCGCGGGCGGTTGAGCGACAGCGACGCCGCCACCGACGACGAGGTGGCCGAGGAGGAGGCCGCGGACGCGTTGGACGCCTCCGAGAGCGTGGAGGACGCCGCGGAGTGCGCCGGCCTGGGCGGCGCCGGCGGCGGCGAGGCCCTGACCATCTCCAGGTCCGGCAGCCGGATGCCGCCGCCCGGGATGCACGACGACGCCATGGCGGCTCGTCCGCCGATCGATCAGTGAGTCAGTCGATCCAGCAACGGAAAACCTCACCCAAAAATCGCGACTTTCCTTCCAAAACCCATCAGAGATTTCCGTTTTCCAGCTGGGCGGACCAAATCGGGAAGGAATCCCTGATCTTCGGAGATCACGGGTGGAAGCGCAAGGGGGAGCGGGGTGGGGAAGGGAAATCAGCTGGTGCCGTGCCGTCCTAAACCCAACCCGAACCAGCGCAAAACCCCCCACCAGAAAACCAGCGGAAAAGGAAGAAAAGGAGGGGGCCAAAACGCGAAAGAGAGGAGAGGGGCCGCGTGGAACCCGAGGAATTTCTTGTTCACACGCCACCACTGTGGCCATGTTTTAGATTGTAAATTTTTTTAATCTGAACACCGTAGCATGTTTCGTTTGTATTTGACAAACTTTGTCCGATCATAGATTAACTAGGTTCAAAAAATTCATCTCGTGATTTACAACCAAACTATGTAATTAGTTACTTTTTTATCTACATTTAATACTCCATACATGCGTCCAAAAATTAATATAATAAAAAGAGTAAAAAAACTTGCAACTTTGATATCATCTATAAGCTTCTGTTGCTGCTATTGCATCTGCCGCCTGCCGCCTGCCCGGCCGGCCTCGGAGACGGAGCCAAAGTGCGGTGTCGGGGCCTGGTTTAGACTGAGGCCAGTATTGGCACCGTAGCATTTTCATTTGTATTTGCGCTCAATATTGGCATCATAGTATTTTCGTTTGTATTTGATAATTATTATCTAATCATAGCTTAACTAGGTTCAAAAAATTTATCTTATAATTTACAAATCAAATTATATAATTAGTTATTTTTTTATTTATATTTAATATTCTATACATGTGTCAAAAATTTAATATGATAAAGAGAAAGTGAAAAAACTTACGCGCGGGTGCCGAAATGCAATCTCGGGAAAAGGCGATCACCGAGAAAGAAAAGGAAACGAGCAGGTATACAGCCTGTTCGGGAGGCCGTATCGTATCGTGGATTATTTACTGCTGGCTAGTTTGGTGTGAGAGAAAAACACTGTTTCCGGCTGAAAATTTATAATCGTTTACGAGCAAGCGAACAGGCTGATAATAACGTGGAGCCGGCGAGGTTAAGCGGGCGTTTACCTTCTCGCCCGCTGAAACGCAGAATACGATAGGAAAAATGTGCCTTACAGTCAGATGCTGACTGAGAGCTAGCTGCCGTTTTGTTCTCATGTATTGGGTCCTAACTTTAAAATATTAATTGCTTGTGTATTGATATAGCTGACCTCACAGCCAACCTATTATATAAATAGATTATATTACTTATTATACGTGAGGTGGCACCTGCAATTAGCCAACAACAGCCTAAATTATTAGCCTTGTTCTTAATCAAAGCGGCCCGAGAAGAAACAGCAGGTGTGGTGGCTTGTTGTTAATCAAATCGGCGGCGTCACCACCACCGGCACCGCACCAACCTCGAACAAGGCTCGAAAAGTAAACGAGCGTTCGAGCTTCAGGAGGTGGCGAGGTCGTGCGTGGCAGTTTCCGCAAGGAGCGAGGCCGGGTTTAGTTCGTAAAAATTTTCATCATAAATTATTATATCGAATCTTACGGTATATGTATAGAGTATTAAATATATATTAAAAAAATTAATTGCACAGTTTAGTTAAAAATCGCGAGACGAATGTTTTAAGACTAATTAGTCCATGATTAGCCATAAGTGTTATAGTAACTAACATGTGCTAATGATGAATTAATTATGCTTAATAAATTTATCTCCCAGTTTCCAGACAAGCTATGTAATTAGTTTTTTTATTAGTATCTGAAAACCTCTTCCAACATTTTCGAAACATCCGATGTGAACTAAACACAGTCTGAGTGAAGGAGAAGAGGGCAGCAGCCAGCAGGGACGGACAGCTAAGGCGTGGTTGGACTGAACGGAGGATCGGGCGGAGGAAACAGAGCCGCCTGCGGATCCGAGAGCAAGCAAGCGAGATCCTAGCGCTTGGATTCGTCAAAGATGACGAGGAAGGAAGAGGCTTGACTTGATTGAGGAATCTTAGTAGTACTCCATCAATTTGCGTTTTTTTTTTACGGAGGGACTACTTTGTTACCACTGTACCCATTCGCGAGGAGGAACAGGAACAGGAAGGGTTTAGCGAAATTGAGGGAGAGGAGTGGAGGACCCCAGAAAAAGGTTTGTTTTTTTCAGAGGAGGAGCGAACAGCCGGCAGCCGGCGGCCAGCGGAAGAGACGAACTGCCCTTTCAGCCTGTCACTGTCATCAGTTCATCACCTCACTCATCGACCCTCCGGTGGGCCCCCGCGCGAAGGTCCGGTACCTCCCATTGCATTGCATTGCTTCACACTTTCTCTCACTGGTGAGCCAGCTGGTAGAGCTAGCTAGCTAGAGTGCCTCCTCTAGTCCTCGTGCGTGGCTTGACGGGAGCGGAGCTCGCCTTGTCACGTTGCGACGAGCCATGGCTGCTCGAGGTACACGTGTGGGTGCGTGAGCAGAGCACGACGACGACCCAACGCGCTAGACTGCGCGCTGCGTGAGGCGTGACCTGCCGCCCGCCGCCCTACCGGTCCAACTCACGTGTGACCCGAGCGGAGAGGAAGGGAGGTGGGAACGGTATAATAGCTTTGACGGTGCCGCTAGCTCTAGCTGCCCAGCTAGGCTGCTGACAGCAACTGTGGCCTTGTTTAGGGCTGGTTTAGATTGTAAATTTTTGGATACTGTAGCATGTTTTGTTTGTATTTGATAAATTTTGTCTGATCATAGATTAATTAGACTCAAAAGATCTGTCTCGTGATTTATAACCAAACTGTGTAATTAGTTATTTTTTTATCTACATTTAATACTCCATACATATGTCCAAAAATTGATGTGATGGAGAGAGAGTGAAAAAACTTGGAATTTGGAGGTGATCTAAACGAGGCCTGTATCATGGAATAGCTGCTGGTAGTAGTCTGCTACTACTGCACTGTGCTCCAGTATCACGGGCATACTGCATCACGGTGTCTCCATAGTCCAGACTCCACTCCACGGCACGAACATGTGATGGGTGTAGCACACAGAGAACCAGAAAGAAGAGGTTTGTGATGCAGAAAGTCGTCGCTTTCGTTGCCGAACTCGTTTTCCTCAGCTCGTCTGCTCGTGACGGCGATTTCCTCGTGATTAGTACTAGCATTAGATTAAGGGCATGTTCGGTTCCTGGGTTTGGTGGCCTGGAATCATTCCGGTCAGGTACCGAGAATAATTTCTGGAGTCGTTCCCCCTCAAACGAAGGTGGCCTAAAAGTAATGGAGGCCAGCGGTTCGTGGGCTACTTGGCGGCCGCCACCCGTCTTCGTCCACCTCCCGCTAACCAAGAACCAACCCTCGTCGTCGTCATCATCGACAGCAAGCAATTGACGCCGTGCTCCCCCGGTCTGGTAGAGGAGTTTTCTTCTCTGGGCAGTGGCCGGTGTCGTACGCTGATGATGGATGGATGCGGCCACTCGGCAGAAATGGACGGACCTCTTTGGTTGTTCCTGTATCCTGTACGCTGATGGTCGTACGCTGATGAGGATGCCAACTCTGTGCCCGTGCGACACGAGCAGCGAGGACGAACGTGGCGGGCCTTGACCAATGCCCATAGCTTATAGGCCGCCTGGATCTGGGCCGGTTGCGGTGGAAATCCCATCCGCAGGCCCATCACGGCATCTGTCAAGCCCGACTCCACCCCACCGGCCACCACTGCGTAGCCGCCACCGCTCCGCTGCCCCGTGCCGTGCTTGGCCTCGACGCACCGCTCGCAGCAGCCGCCGCCCCGCCGGCGAGCCGACTGGCCTCCTCCTCCTCCCCCTCCCCCTCCCCCTCCCCCACCCCGCTGCTGCGCGCGCCACAGGCTCCCCGGATCCTCCCCACTCAGGACCGCAAGAGGAACCGAGACGCCACCTGGGGCCTCCGCCGCTGCCTGGTTAGTATTGGCACTCCATCTTCGATCCTCCTCGTTTGTATCACTAGGCTAGACTAGGCCCCACGAGTCCGCAGGAGCTAATCGGTAGGAACATCTGATACAGCTCGAGATTGTGTGAGAAGATCGGGTTTTTAGGTCAGAGATGCGCAGCACACACCTGCAGGTTTGGATTACGCTGCCCTTGTTCCAAGTTTTTTTTTTCGTTGGGATAGTCCGCTGACCGGCGGATGTGGAAAGTACTTGTTCTTCCTGGGTCTGGGACTGGCTGGCTCCGTTAGGGCTTTTTCGCGGCGGGGATGGGATGGGGGCTTCCCTTGGGTTTTGCTCGGCTGATTTCACTCCGGCTGCCTTAGGCGCGTGCCAGTTAATGCTGCTTCGGTAGCTTTGGCTCTAGTTCAAGTGACTTTAGGGATTGTTCACCATTTCTTTTTTCCATGTTAAGGATTTCTTTTAACTGGAAATGGATTTTGTTGATATATATATTCTGCCTAATTTAGCTAGTCATACCAGATGGGATGTGTGTTGGACTGGGGATACAATGCTTCATATCTAAGACGCTGTTTGGATCAAGGAGATAGTAGTTAGCTGCTAATAAGTAGTTCCTTGGATCCAAATAGATCTAGCTAATAGTTTAGCTAATTGTTAGCTAAATACTCAACTAACAGCTATTTCACTAGTTGAACCAAAGTAGCTAATAGCAGCTAATAATAACCGTGACCTATTAGCTAGCTAACTTTTAGCAGCTAATGGATCCAAACAGGCCCTAAACACATCTGTAATTTGTGTTTGATTCTTTTTAATGTTGCAGAGCCTACAGGGTCGTCGCATATTTTTGGAGAGTCTCCACTCCTCCCTGCTACACCCGTTCCATCTCCGTCCCTGTCAACAAGATGGCACGTCAGTCCGCGCTCTCGCTCGTGAAAGATCAGGCGAAGGTGGGTGCGCTGAAGCGTCTGACTCTGAGCTCGTCCAAGACGGCAGGCCGGAACTCGTCCGGGCGCATCACCTCTTACCACCGTGGCGGAGGGGCCAAGAGGCTGCAGAGGAAAGTCGATGTGAAGCGTGGCACCTCTTCCCTGGGCATTGTGGAGCGGATTGAGTATGACCCGAATCGCTCCTCTAGCATTGCTCTGGTGCGATGGGTCCAAGGGGTGCATTTCCGCCGTCCCAAGACTCTACAAGAGCCCAGTGCCAAGCCATCAGTCCTGGAATCTGTCACTGCTGATGTCTCCAGTCGGTTTTCCCTTGCTCCATTGTCAGCTAGAGTGCATAAGGAAAAGGAAGCTGCTGCACTGTACTCTTCTTTGGGCAATGGAGATATTGCATCTCGTAAATTGGGTGGGAGCTTGCCTAGGATAGCATTAGCTGGTGCGAAGCCCACTTTCTATGCTCAAGTCAGAGGAAATGAAGAAGAAAAACAGACCTTCTCTCTTTCTGGAATTCAAAAATGGGCAGCGGATGATGCGCTTTGGACACAGAGAATGAAGCGCCAAGCTGCTCTCTCTTGGCAGAATGATCTCAAGAAGAAACCTTTGCTTCAGACACAGGCTAACCGCTTCAGTAGCTTGACAGCAAAGTCTATTGGTATGAGTAAAGGGCCAAAGGAAAAGGCTGATTGTGTACCAGTATCTTATATATTGGCCAGTCACCAGTGCATGCCAGGTAGTACAGTGATGAACTATGACTCCTCGAGACCTTCTAAGAGTGCATCCTTTTCGCCATATTCCTCAGCTAATCAGTTTGATATAATTGATCTCAACTCAAAGGTTGGGAATTGCATACCACTAGCCAATGCAAGAATTGGAACATGGGTGCATGATATTGAATGTCGTCCTGGTCAGGGTGGGAAGATGGTTCGAGCAGCTGGTACATATGCTAAAGTAGTACAGGAGCCAGGTGCACATTGTGTTCTGCGTCTTCCTTCAGGTGCTGAGAAGATTGTCGATTCAAAATGTCGTGCTACAATTGGTATAGTCTCCAATCCAAGCCATGGCACACACAAGCTAAGGAAAGCAGGGCATAGCCGGTGGTTGGGCAGACGCCCTGTTGTCCGTGGTGTTGCTATGAATCCTGTGGATCATCCCCATGGTGGAGGCGAGGGGCGTACCAAAGGAGGCAGGCCTTCAGTTTCTCCTTGGGGAAAGCCCACTAAAGCAGGGTACCGGTCACCAAACGTGGCCAGCCGTAAAGCTTCTTAGTGTGATGTAACAAGCTCATATGGAATGGCCCTTTTTGTTTGGATCTTGTAGTTGAGAAAATAATGAACAGATGTTGGTGGTAGAGGGAACTGTGATGCATCATCTTGGTTGTGATGTAGAAAGCAGGCAACAGAGAAGTAATGTTTTCATTCCTATATTTGTTAGTGTTTTCTTTTGCAGAAATACATAACATGGCCTTCCAATGATACATTATCTTTCACTCCAGTGTGATACATTATCTTTGTCTTCGTCAGTCCTGATTAGTGCATTTTTTTCTTTATTCCTTTTCCTTTGTATTTTACGACATATTTTGTCGTTATGCCACTGTTCTGATTGGGAAAGAATGTTCTTTTCTTTTTGCACATGCTGGTATACTTTGCCATTTCTCTATATTTTTTTCCTGTCTGTAAACATATTTCAAGACAGGGGTTCCGATTCATGTTACCAAGAGAGTATGGATTTGGAAATAACGACGCAGGTCATAGTCCAACTCTGGTGTATCTCTTTATTTTATTGCAGTTGGATTTATTGCTTACACCTGTGACTGTTTTTGTTTTCTAAATCTATTTTCTTCTCGTGTACTTTGCCCTTGAATTGCCTCTCTGTTCTGGTATCTCCCTGCTAGCCAACGACACAGCCAACCTTCTTTGCCTGTAGTCTCGATTCCAAATTCTCTGCTTGTGTTTTCGTCATAAAAAAGTGACTGTTCAATTGGCAAGGGAATATCAAGTACTAATTTGGTTTGATCTAACAAAATTATCGTTAAGTACTATTCAAGCACAAAAATTGGCGTGTCACTGCTCCGGATTCAATTCAGAGTGTCTGAAGAATTCGGATGCTCCCTTGATGGCACTATCCTCGAGACTTCTCCATATTCTCCTAATTTTGGCTTCTGCAACTTCGACAGTTTGACATCAGTTTCTTCAGGAACTTTGGGCTTCTGCAGTTTTTTTTTTTTTTTTGGTCTTTACACTCCTTCAAAAACGTGTGAAACGGCCTGGGCTTTTTGTAATACTGATTTGATTTCTTCTCTAACATCATTGTGACTGCCAGGACACTGCACACTCAATTAGTTCACAACCGTCGCCTAGGCTTTGAGCCTTTGACTCGTAAGCATAGAGCTGTTACATGCCTCCAGAAATTTTTGTGGCTGAAGTTTTGTTGGTTGCAAGACCGGTTAAATCTTAAATTAACAATGTAAAGCAAGCTATCTTACAGATTTCCAAAACTGATGTTGTACTGAGGTACTCTACTTGTTTACACATAGAAATTCTACTTGTTATGCGCCGAGGATGGAAAATGTTGAAAAGGAGAAGAAAAATATAAAAAAGGTTGGAATGACTGCAGGATCCGATTACAAATACATGGGCAGTGTTCGAATCTAAGTAGTATAAGAATCCCAGCTTGGCTGGGCACGGTGCTAACTGCTAAGCATCTGTTTCTGATCATAGAGAGAATATGAGCCGCTCAACCACCGCTTCTAACTGGAATGAGCACAAAAAAGCTGGGGTATCAAATTTTGATGTTAGGAGCACATGAACAGTGAATAAAATATATTTCTGCCAAGTATATGAGGGCACTGTTCTATTGGACAGAAAGGAAAATAGCACTGTGGAATTAATAACTTAATCAATGAAGATGAAATCTATAATCATTAAAATAAAAACATGGAAGAATGTTTTTTTTTATAACAAGCTTCATTAACTTTACAACAGCGTACAGTAAGGAGCTTGAAAGGCTCCAGGTTTACATTCTGCAATGCCAACGCAGCAGGGTAGGAATCATAAGAAATATGAGCAGGAGCCGTACAAGTGAATACAACTGAGTGGCTCTGCAATCTAAAAGCTTGATGTGCTAGTGAGTTTGCTGTTGTATCTGAGTTTCTTGGAATCTTGTTGACCTTGAACTCCCTTGTTGGCAGTGCTTGCAGGAAGGTAGCTGTGTATTTCTTGATATTCCAGTGGGGTGGGTTTTCAAGATCTCTTGAATTGTAGAAGTTGGCCATCACCTGGCTATCAGTGAGGAAATTCACTGAATTGATGTTCAGATGTTTGGTGATGTTTGCCACAAGGGTGAGAGCTGCAGCTTCGGCCATGAGGACTGACTGCACCGAAGGAACCTGTGCCTGGATATAGAGCGTGGTGGTGATATTCTGGCTCGGGATGAACAGGAACACGCCAAGCCCTGCTTTTCTTGCGTTGTTGCATGTATCAGGATGCGTTGAAGCATCCGTGAAACATCGAGGCCCATGAAGAGAGGCCGGCAATAGGCTCTGTGCCTGATTTGCTGATGGTGTTGGTTGTTGTGTACTCACTGTTCCTGCATGAAAAAGTTGCATACCTTGCTGATTTTCCTTTCGTCGGATGTCGACGTTAGCGTTCAAGTTGCCATCACCAACGATAGTACTTGCTGGGTCGTCGTTATCTGCATGCTTGGTTAGAAAAGCAGTATGAAGTTCTGCAGATGTAGCATTGTGAATTTGCCACACTGTCCAAGACTTGTTATTAAATCTTTTGTCATTTTGAGCCATCCAAAGGTACCACAGTGTGGTCATGACTAGCTGTAGATGATCATCAGGTGTGCGAGTGTCAATAATATGGGATAAAATGTCTTGCACACCATCCTGTTCCTGTGGTAACACCGAAGTGCAAAGGGGAGGATTTGCTGAGAACCATACGGCTCTAGCAAATGTGCAGTGAAAGAACAGATGAGCATCGGTTTCAGTGTTGTTACATGTGGTGCAGCTCTTACCAATTCTTGAAGAGAAACGGCTTGCTCGTTCCCCTGTTGCTAGTGCTCTTCGAAACAGTCTCCAAGCAAATGCTTTGATGCATGGTGATATGCTTTTGTGTTTCCACACTCTTTGAAGGATGGACAGACGTGTTGGGTTATGCTTCTTGGACCCTGCATTGGAAGAATTACCTGCATTTCATTTGCTAGGTGCCTATATGCCTCTTTGGTTGAGCAAGTACCAGTTGGTGCAGGGATCCATCTCAGTGTGTCATTCTCATCACTGGGTACAGTTTGTACCTGCAAAATAATTTGTGTAGCCTGCTGGTTGAAGATGTTAGCAATGAGAGTAGCATCCCATGATTTGGAGTGAGGGTTCCAGAGATCAGCTACTGTCTGGGGGAGAGGAGTTTGTGTGACTGGAAGGTTGATATGATCATGAATAGAGTCCCAGATGCTGCACCATGGCGAGTTCCAGATGCAAGAGTTGCCGCGGTGAATTTGTAAGATAGTGTTTTGCTGCAGGATGTCCTTAACCTGGCAAATAGAAGACCAAAAATAGATTTGGGACAGTGTGCTGGAGCTTTCCAGAACGAGGTGTGGGGAAGTATTTGGCCTTGAGGATTGCGGTAAGCTGCTGGTTTTTAGCTGAAGCAATATTCCAAGCAGCATGAAGGATTAAGCTTCTATTGACAGTGTGTAAGTCCCGAATTCCAAGACCTCCATTCTTCTTAGGCTGACAGATATCTTGCCAAGACCGAAAAGCAATGGGCGAAGTTGGGTTGTCATCTTTGATTCCCGCCCACCAAAAACGCCGAATAATGGAATTGATTTTTTCTACAAAAGTTTTGGAGAAGAGGACTGTAGACATGTAATAGATGGGAATGGAGGCTAGTACGGAGTTTATGTAAGTGATTTTCCCAGCATGGTTAAGTTTGTTAGCCTTAAGCGTGGTGAGGTTGGCCTTGAATTTATTGAGAATGAAATTATAAGCTTGAGTCCTGTCTTTATGGCTGAAAATGAGAGGATGACCAAGGTGCATAGTGTTAGCCGCTAGATTGGGCACAGGAAAGATCCCTTTGATTGTGGCTTTTGTTGTATTGTCCACATTCTCACTGAACAAAATAGATGACTTGTTAAGGTTTGGGGTCTGACCTGAAGCACTGCAGAAATCTTGGATTATGGCAATAATAGTTGTGGCTTCAGCAATTGAGGCATGACCACAAATGATGAGATCATCAGCGAAGAGAAGATAGTGAATGTGTGTGTGTGGGTGTGGGGTGGGGTGGGGGGTGACAACCGGGCCCCAAAGTTACTCCTTGGATACGGTTCTGACTGATGGCTTCCTCAAGTCTGACAGAAAGATCATTTATAGCAATCACAAAAAGGTACGGCGAGAGGGCAGCCCTGTCTAATACCTCGTTAAGGATGGAAAGGTTGAGATGGTTCGCCATTAGCAAGTACCGAGTAGTAAGGCGTTGCAATGCAAGAGTGTATGAGATTGATAAGATGAGGGTGATACCCCTGACGTCTGAGAGCAGCCTCAACAAAATTCCATTCTATTTGGTCAAAGGCTTTGGCTAGGTCTAACTTGAGCATGAAAGCCGGTTGGGTCCAGGATTTGAGTTTGAAGGAATGCACAAGTTCTTGAGCTATGATGATGTTGGACGAAATATGCCTACCTTGAATGAAAGCTGCTTGGTTAGGGTGTATGTTATCTAGGAGTTTTGGTTTGACTCTAGCTGCTAGAGATTTCGCAATGATTTTATAGATGACATTGCAAAGGCTAATGGGTCTGAAATCTTGAGGAACAATTGGATTAGCCTTTTTAGGGATAAGAGTTAGGAAAGTATGATTTAAAGCTCTCTGAAGATCCCCAGATTGAAAGAAAGAGGAGATTACCTCATGGACATCTTTAGCAATCCACTGCCATGCAGCCTTGTAGAAGCCCGCATTGAGTCCATCAGGCCCAGGAGCTGCATTACTCCTCATCTCCTTGACAATGGAGTGTATTTCCTGCAAATCCGGGACTGAAGTATCGAAATGGTCAGTAGTAGTTGCCTGGTGATGAGTAGTTGTCTCTGTGGTGCTGGAAGTAGGCACTTCAGTATTCTTGGAGGTGAAGATGGATCTGAAATAGGCTGTGAGAGCGGCAGACAACTGATTGGGTGTAGTTGAGGTGGTTCCGTCTGGGTTTATGAGGTGAGTAATCCTATTTCTACTCGTTCTTTTGAGAATTGATTGTTGGAAAAAGGAGGTGTTTTTATCGC